TAACAAGATTATTTTATGTACTGCCAAGCCGCCTGTGGCAAATGACTATAAAACACAATATAGGGCTTCTCAATGTTTGTATTCATTATATGGCCAGTCAATAACCTTCCAGATATTGCTGTAGTAGAGCGTGTGAATCCAGGACAAGAATTTCCACTAATTCAGTAATAAATCAAGGAAGATGCTAGTTCATATTGCTTATCACAGCGTGGTCTATTCAAGGCATAGCGTAAACTGGAAGGCTGCTGCAAAAACTGACATTTCAGTTGTGTTCTTAAGAACATCATTTGCATGTTTGTTCCATGAACATGGTGTTTGAAGAGCCTGGGAAGCATTGTGTATAGGGTTTCTGTGACAGAACCACCCCTCTTCAAGTCAACTGGACAACATAGGGAAACCTAGCCCAGTGTTTTGACAAGGGATGGATGCCTTCTCTTTATCCCCTGACTGAAAATGCCACAGGTTTTTTTTTGCTAGGCCTCAAAGCCTGTGTCTGATTAAATTCAGATCTTTGGAAAACTGAATCTGGGCCACCTGCCTCCTTCTGAAGCATTAAGCATATAGTGAAAAGAATAGGGTGTCACTTCTGGACTTTGTTTGGGGAATTCTCAGTTCTTGAGTTGGAATGATGTATGCAGCCACCACCCAAGTTTTTAAGTTTTCACATATCAGCACACATTGCAAGAAATCTACCAAGGAAGCTGTTACGAAGGGAAGCTTGAAATCTTCCACTACAGAATTGGAATATGTTCATTCTGTGTTTGCCATGTAGTTCAGTTCTTTCTCTTTTGAAGCTACGATTGCTTGCAACGAGAAGTCGTAGGGGGAACTGACCGGTGCTTTTGTTGACTCGGTAGGACTGTGTGCATATTGTCACTGAATTGATTCCTCAGTGTGGAAAAAAGAAATCACAATGGTTTTAGAATCTAGCCTTGGGTCAGGCTCTTTTTACATTTCAGTGTCAATTCAATGTCATCAGCTGTGTTCATTTAATTAGATATTGACCCTATTAATATCTGGGCACAGAAAAATTGACACATCAGTATTATTGATAGCTTTGCCTTGTCTATAAATACTACCACATCATAACAAAATAGTTCTCTTCCCTTCGCTTTCCCATGTCCAATTTTTAAGACAAATTCAAGGAGGAGAGGGCTATCAGTGGCTACTATGCTCTGCGTCAACAGTTGGAGGCAGCAATTCATGCTTCTGAATACCAGTGGTTGGAAACAGGAGAGTGTTCTTGTGCTCCTGTTTTGCTTGCTGGTTTCCTATGGGCATCTGGTTGGCCCCTCTGATAACAGGATGCTGAACTAGATGAACCATTGGCCTGATCCAGCAGGATCTTCTTATAAGAGTGCAAGCCTGCAGGCAATATCTGTTTGATTTGTTTTGCTTTGTACTTTGCCTTGGGGTTGAACATAGCCTGGTTATTATTATAGAGACGAAGCCTTGCAGCTCGATCTAGTACAGGGGTTGGCAAGGTTTATTGGCCATGGGCCAGATCACTGCCATGGAAATCGTCCGTGGGCCGGACTGGTGCAGCGTGATGCCAGAAATCACGCCTGTGCATGTCTGTGGCGCTGAAAATTGCTTCTGCGCATGCCCAGACGCCGAAAATTGCACCTGCGCAGAAGCAATTTTCGGCATCTGGACATGCACAGATGCAATTTGTGGTATCTGCGAGTGCGCAGACGCCATTTCCAGTGCTACTCAGTGAGTCCCCGCACCGCGCGGCGCTGTTTTAAAGCAGCGCACGGGGGACTCTCCGAGTAGGCGGCTCGGTTTAGGGGTGGCTCATGGGCCAGTGAAACGGTCTTCGTGGGCTGCATCTGGCCCATGGGCCGCATGTTGCCGATCCCTGATCTAGTACCCACTTAATTACCAAAGAACTACCATAGCAATGTGGTCCTTAACCAGAATGGAAGTACTGTGTTTTCAGCCATTTCAGTTTAATTGCTGGCTATAAATCACCCTAAATGTTTAAGTGCAGTTGTTTAATTGGCTGCGTGTCAGGACTCTGCAGTTTAGAAATGAGATTCATCAAGAAAGATATGTATCAAAGATGTATAAAACAGTGAAACCACATGAGAACTTTAATAGACCAGTACAGTGGTACCTTGGGTTACAAACACTTTGGGTTACAGACTCCGCTAACCCAGAAGTAGTACCTCGGGTTAAAAACTTTACCTCAAGATGAGAACAGAAATCGTGTGCCGGTGGCGTGGTGGCAGCAGGAGGCCCCATTAGCTAAAGTGGTACCTCAGGTTGAGAACAGCTTCAGGTTAAGAACGGACCTCCAGAACGAATTAAGTTCGTAACCAGAGGTACCACTGTAGTCTAAAACCTAGCGTGGTTATCAATAGAGTAAATGGCAGCATTTTTGAAATGAGACATAATAATTTAATAATAATTTATCATTTATACCCCACCCATCTGGCTGGGTTTCCCCAGCCACTCTGACGGCTCCCAACAGAATTAAAAACATAATAAAGCATCAAACATCAAAAACACCCCTGTTAATTTCACTGTTTAAAGATACTGTCATGGCATGCAGTCCTGCTCCCTTTGTGTTTTGGAGAGCCGGGAACAGAGGTGATATCAGCAAGATCCTTTCCTTCCTTGCCATGGCACATCTGTGCTGGGAGCGCAGTTCTGCCAAGTGTGTTGAAACACATCCATGATGAGATCATCATAGAATTGGCATACCCAGCTTAGATGTAGGTAGACATTGGTGGAGGAAGCTGTGCTTTTGTCTTATGAGGAGCCACAAATGCAGATAGGAGGTTTTTATACCCTTGGCCAGTAATTTAGAAAGTGCTCCAAATTCATGGAGAGAAGCCTCTGCTATCAGCTGTTGCCTTGGTTTCTGTAAAAGCAATGCTCCTTGTGAGACTGATAGATTGAGATATTAAATAATGCTCCACCCCCTCAGTCGGTACATTATGAGACCCTTAATCTCAGGGTCGTGGGTTTGAGACTTGAATTGGGCAAATAGATCCCTACGTTGCAGAGAGTTGGATTAGATGATCCTCATGGTCCCTGCCAACGCTACAATTCTATTATTCTCTTTTTCTCTCTGTGTGTATGTATGTGGCTGGTCTGATTATGGGTGTGTGTGTATTATTTCTGCGCATATACACACTGACTTTTGTGTTTTATTGGCTATTGTCCAGGATAAACAAACTGCCCTGCATAACATGGATATCCGGTGGAAATTATTATATTAATACTTTAAAAGAATAAATGGGTCACAGCGATGAAATGAGATAGTTATGTAACCTGCATGTGTGTTCAGACACATAATTAAATGCCATGTTATTAAAAGGTCAAGTTCAGATCAGTGCAGTTTACTCAGTTCAACCAGAATCCATTCAGATCTTAAATAGTCTTAAAAAGAGGGATGCCTGTGATTCCACTTTTTAAAAGCAAGTCAATTGACTGCCACAAGTTATCGTATTGCAGAGAATAACCTAGACATATTTTATTTAAATAGAGTTCCATAATTTTTCCAGACAAACTTTTGCCCACAGTTAGGTTTCTAAAATTCCATTGAGTATGCGCAGCCACAGAAAAATACTGTAATTTACACAGCACTTTCAGCGTGCTAATTCACCAATGTTTTTACCACACTGCAAGCAGGGTGGGGAAAATTCAAAGCATCTGGTTGCCATGTGCCTAGAAAGTTTGTGCTGGTGCTTAGGAATTTGAAATATTTGCTAGAAAGGTGCCTAGGATTTTTCTTCTCTCAAATACTGCCCCGTTGCTTACAGTGTAAGATGCATCTTTTTACTCTGTCAGGGCTCCTGTACCTGTCTCTTAACATCTGTGCAACTAGCAGAAATAAACACTTTCCCTTATCATCCCATCTCCATGCCATGAATGGGAAAGTTATGGCTGTTGACTTTTCGTCTCTCATGTTGCTGTTTAAAGGAGCCCTGCTATAAAAATTCTGGGTACTGGTAGTAGATAGGAATATCACTTTGTCAGAGGATTCTTGTTCAAACACATAGGAAGGAAATACAGTGGTATCCTGGGTTACAGGTTACAGACTCCGCTAATAGTACAGAAATAGTACCTCATGTTAAGAACTTTGCTTCAGGATGAGAACAGAAATTGTGCTCCCACGCGGCAGCAGCGGGAGGCCCCATTAGCTAAAGCGGTGCTTCGGGTTAAGAACAGTTTCAGGTTAAGAACGGACCGCCGGAACGAATTAAGTACTTAACCCGAGGTACCACTGTATGGTTGTTTGGGCTGGGAAAAAAAACACCCCTAAACTTTGAGGCTTCAGTACAGTGGAATACTTTGGTGATCAGACTATCTCAAAGTGCACCGTGTGGCTTTTAAAATAACCCTCATTTTAAAATAACCCTTATTTTATTTATTAAGTTTATATCCCATCCTTCTTCCCAAAGGCTCCCAGAGTGGCAAGTCTTAGCTCCAAGCGTTGAAAATGTTAAGTTGTTCAAATGCTGACTGACAGCCTATAGAAACATTAATTCCTAGCACTAAAAACAACCTAACCTAGCATGTTTTTAGCTAAATATGGGAGTTTTTGATAACTTGCTAGACAAGGGCTGTTTATTTAACCTTATCTAAGTAGAAAACAAGCAATTACCTCATTTTTATAAAGCAACAAATGCAGGCTTTTTTGGGGGGGGGGGACGGGGAGCAAAGTTACCACACATCAAGAGAAAGATATTCCTAAAGGGTTGTCTCTAATAAAGTCATACTTACAGTACACTCACTGAAATCTTTGTAGTTAAATTAGTCATGGCCATTGATTTCAGTGCATCTGCTGACTGCAATCCTGTCCAGGTCTACTCAGGACGTGCGTTCTGTTGAATTTAAGGAGGCTTAGTCCCCCAGTGGGGTTAGGATTGCAGCCTTAGTTTTGTTTCTGATCTGCCGTATTTATTCTGGTGTGAATAGTAACAAGCACCCTGTTATTTCTCATGGGGTATTTTTTTGGTCAATTTCTCTGGTTTGCTCTCTTAAAGGTCTCAATATTTGCACAAGTGGCAGTGCTACCTCCTGCGAAGAATGTTTGCTTCTTCATCCCGAGTGTGCTTGGTGCTATAAAGAGGTGAGTTGTCCTTCTTACTTTAAAACTAGCTTTGTATATTTGCAATCTAGAATCCTTAACTTCAGGTGTTTTTTTGTACAAGGCAGACTGGTCAACAGATTACTTCCTTAGTTCCTGTATTAAATCATAACTTTCTCAGTTCCTGTACTAAATCATAAACAAAACCAAGGGTGCGACGCCAAGCCTCTGCCCAAAATCTCTACTTCTCCGTTTTAATTCTAGCCTGAAGAGGTGTTCTGTGTAACTCAAAATGTTCACATGTCTTATTGTGAACCTTGCTGTTAAATAAGTTTGTAATTACCTATATAATAACACTTAATTGACAATTTGAGGCAATGGTGTCAGGAAGTTGTATTTTTTCTTTCCCACCCATTTGCAATAAAAATTGCATCAGTAGTATGTAGTCCAAGAAAAAAGAAATGGTAGATAACCAACATTAGTCATAGTAGACCCACTGAAATCAATGGGCTTAAGTCTATTGACTTTAATGGGCCAACTCTTTTAAGATTAGTTAATATTAATATTTCAATTAATATTAACTTAAGTATACATGCTTAAGTGCAGTGGTTTTCTTTATAATATCCTCTCATGAATTATGAGTTAGAATGATAATGTTTATCATTTTTTATCCTTTATATAAAAAAGAAAATTTCTAAAGAATAGAGCTTTTGCATAATTATGGCATAAACATCCTCCTTTTGTGGCAACTCTTCTGTAACATTGGGGCTGCTGAACCCGATGCGACTTAAATGCACATGATTAATGTGGGCCTGGGCCTGCAGTCGCTGTGATCCTGGTAGCTAGATCCTGGTAGTGGAATCCAGGTAGCTATTGAAGTCACTTTGGTGTAACAGACTTCCCTGCCCACTTAAAATGTGCCTTGGGTTGTGGGTATCATGCTGTATATGCAACCTGACTTTATACATTGGGATAATGGCCTGATGTTTTCATTGCAATGTCTTATATGCTGTCTGTCAGGGAACTGCCATCAGCTCGGAGGCGAGAGGTGGAAGGGCAGTTGGGTTACAGGGAGCCTCCCAAGATCGTGAGAAGCAGCACTTCCTCTGTGGAGAAGGGAAGCCACGCCTCCAGTGGGGAAGGGATGTAGGGCTCGGAGGACAGCACCGGGCCTGAGCCAAGTGGGGGGGGAGGCAGGTCCCCCTTTGCCCACGCCTTCTCTGCGCAGTCGGTTTACGCACAGAGAGGAGAGGCGTAGGATGGGGGTCAAAAGACTACTCTGCTGGGGAAAGTTTAAGGACCGCCCACTCCCAGATTCTGTTAGTGACTGAGCAAGACATGGAATTGAGACGTTCTGCACTGTGAATGTTTTTCCACCGATAATAAAGCCTTGAAAAGACCAGTGGGGGTCTTGCCTGTTCGCTCTCGAGCAACCACGCGGACCTACACAACACTGTCCCTCAAAAGTTACTTCTGTTGCCACATTTGGACAGTGTGTATTCAGTCAGGGCCACTACTGTTTCCACTGTTTGGGTCCATCTGTATTCTCTTAGTGGGGTTTTGGTGCTTCAGGGAGACCAGCAACTGCAGTTTCTCCATCCTATTTCCACCTGTAGGGGGGCCTCTTCTTATTCTGTTCTCCATACAGAAGTTCCACTACAGCCCATGGGCTACAAGTGGCCCCCGGGGGTTGTTTAAACGGCCCACAAGCCCCCCCCAACTGAGCCGTCTGCTCAGCGAGTCCCCGCGCACTGCACTAAACCGGCACAGTGCCAGAAATTGCGTCTGTGCAGGTGCGATCTGGCCCACAGAGCAATCTCTGCGGGAGTGAACCGGCCCAGGCGAGGTAAACCTTGCCGCCCCCTGCACTACAGTGATAATCGAGCTTAAGGGCAATAGAAATTGAAATACTGGGGCATGTCGGAATGGGGGAATTGGCTCTTGTACAGTGGTACCTCAGGTTACATATGCTTCAGGTTACATGCGCTTCAGGTTACATACGCTTCAGGTTCCAGACTCAGCTAACCCAGAAATAGTGTTTCAGGTTAAGAACTTTGCTTCAGGATGAGAACAGAAATCGTGCTGCGGTGGCGCGGCGGCAGCAGGAGGCCCCATTAGCTAAAGTGGTGCTTCAGGTTAAGAACAGTTTCAGGTTAAGAACGGACCTCCGGAATGAATTAAGTACTTAACCCGAGGTACTTAGGGTTATACTTAGGCTCACTTCCTTGGAGACCTGCCAAGGCTAATGTTGTGGGACTCTCTGGAGCAGATTTTGGGGGGCATGGGGAGAAGAGAGGAAACATCAGTCCTGTTGCACCAGTAGAAATACTTTACAGGATGCAACCTGTAAGAAGCGAGTTTCAATTTAAGCACAGTAATAGGATAACACTTAAGTTGGTCACCTGAGGTCAGAAGTGCCAGAGTACTGTTGCCTGTAGGGATGGGAAACAATCACTCTTGTTACATTTATACATCCAGCCAGGGGGATAATGGTGTTTAGTTCTTCATATGCTCAGCCTCTTATACAAAGATACGCATAGGGGAAGGGTTACTCTACCCCCCCCAATGCCTCAGAGACATCTTGTATGCATCTGTAAGAAGTGTGTTTCTGCCAAGTGTATAAGTGGTGGTGACATCAGAAAGAAAAAATATTGCTTGCGAAGCTGTGGTGTCGGGCTAGATTTGTTTTATTTTCTTGGCACAAAAGGGCTATTTTTTGAGTGGCTCTGCCAACAGAAATGTTTATCCGGGAGTTGTTGTGACCGCTAGTTATAGGTCAGTCTTCAGCAGTAGCTGCTGATGCTGCGTTATCAAATCAATTATTTGGTTTAGATTCCGCCCCCCCCCCCACCGACTTGACTGGAGAGCAAAGAGGAGAAAAGGGGCTGTTTGTAGACAATAATCCCTGAAGGCCACAATAGCTCTTAGTTTAAATTACCTCCCTTTAATTGTGCCACTGCCCGTAAGGAAAAGGTTTTCAATGTTCAGTGAAAAAAGTTGACATTGCTATTCTAACAGTACAGAGTTGTAGCAGACCTTTTAAGTGTCCTTGTTTCTTCCCCACTTTGTACAAAAGTTCCCACTTTGAGTGGGGTGGGGGACCCTAGCCAGGAAAATTTATATTTAGAGTCACAAAAACCTTGTTAGCCAAGGAAAAAGTTTAGGGTTTCCTGGGCCAGATTAAACTAATTTGGTGGCCTAGTGGAAAACAGCACAAGGGCTCCTGTTAGTGCAATTGAGCTCCCCACCCCAAATCCTCCCCGTACACCTCCCCAAATCCCCTCTGTGTGGCCGGGAGAACCCCAGAACAGCATGCTTTGGGGGGGGGGAAGAGGGGAGATAGTTCCACGGTGCAAGCTAAAATGCTTGCACTTACTGAATGATAGTACTGTATTGAATTCCAGTCCTTGGTTCCAAGTTTATGGGGCTCTGGGATTACTAAGGGTTGCATCCAAAGCTGCCAGTCCCGTTATCAGAAGGGCCTTTGCAGTAATGGAGATCAATTTCTGAAAGTTGCGCAAGAGAAGGATCCAGTGCAACAGCCCCACTGGTGGAACCATTTCACAAGAGCTCACTAGTGCATACACATTTGTCTGCTTGTGGAACCTCTTGGGCAAGAGGATCTGTTTGAGAAAGGCAGCCCGCTAGCGGAGCAAATTTGAGTTCCAACTCTTTAACTTCATTGAATGCAACCCTTAAGCAGCAGCCTTGCAGACACTTATTCTGGGAGGAACCTCAATGAAAACAATGGAACCAGTGTGTTGTGTTGGTTAGAGTGTCATACTAAGGGCTCACCCAGACTTATCCTGTTCCTGGAAAGCATGGATTTCAGTGGTTTTCTGCATGCCCTATGCTTTCTAGGAACAGATCTGTGCCGTTTTGCCCTTGTCCCACTGATCTCCACCAAAAATCCCACACTTTAGCGATAAATTGGAGCAGACGTCAATCCGGAGAAAACTCGATTGACGTTCTCTCTGATTCAGAGGTAGAATTGGGGTTTTCCCCGGGGGAAAGTGGTGGGGCAAGTCTGGGTAAGCCTTAAGACCTGCGAGACAAGGGTTCTAGTCCCCACTCAGTCATTAAGCTCACTGGGTGACCTTGGCTCAGTCACTGTCTCTCAGCCTTACAGGTTTGCAGTGAGGACAAAATGGAGAAGGGGGAAAAGCATGTGCCCCACTCTGAGCTCCTTGGAGGAATGGTGTGGTATAAATCCAATTTTTAATAATGCGCACATTTCTGAATATAGGATTGCACCATCAGTGCAAATATTACATTGTAGTCTGCAGGCAGAATTCTATTTTCAGATTTACTTTCCCTGTCCTGAGAAGTGTGGAAAATCTGTCTGCCTAATGGAATGTTAACACATTCAGTTTTGTGCTGCTATTCTTTGAGCATCCTAAGATGCATGTTTGGAAGTGGCAGAATCTCAGCAGGATATTCAAATTCACCCTGAACCCTCCCCCCCCCCAATTCCAGTGGCAAGTCTAACAGGGCATCTCTTTTCTGAGGATTTTCCAAAGCTAGGTTTTTAAGACTTGCAGTTCTGCACAGATCACTGTGCTCTTTAATCTGTTTTTCAGGAATAATGACATTTTTATTTTGCAGGAGAAAAAAACAATTATTAGCCCTGAGTTTGGTGCAATATACATTGGTACCTCAGGTTAAGTACTTAATTCGTTCCGGAGGTCCGTTCTTAACCTGAAACTGTTCTTAACCTGAAGCACCACTTTAGCTAATAGGGCCTCCCGCTGCTGCCGCACCGCCGAAGCACGATTTCTGTTCTCATCCTGAAGCAAAGTTCTTAACCTGAAGCACTATTTCTGGGTTAGTGGAGTCTGTAACCTGAAGCGTATGTAACCTGAGGTACTACTGTATCTTAGATCAGGCTTCCCCAACCTAGTGTTATCCATATGTTTTGGGTGACAACTGCCATTCACCCCAACAGCATAACTGATTGGAGTCCAACACTTTCTGCAGGTGCCAAGTTGGGTACATCTGGCCTAGACCTTGCTGAATGACTAAACCCCTGGACCTTTTTACTTACCAGCCACAGTAGTTTCAATTGAGACTTCGTTATTAGTTGTACTGTACTAATCAAACACATGCAGATTTAAGCAACATGTATATAAGCAATGGATAACAAAAGATGAGCTTCCTTAAATTCTTTAAAATGGTGGACCATGGTCTTATGAAGCCTGCAATAGTTTATACTGGCATGATCTTTTTTTCATAAAGTCAGAGAACTAGATGGTATCATAATGGAAGCATGCTTTACCTGAAATACTTGGACAGAATATTTCTGGAGGCATTTTGTTTCTGAGTTGAAAGCTTCCATTAAACTTCTATTTTCAGAAGAAGAAGAAATAGTTGTAGTACTGTATGTGGAAATAACATGCTCCTGGTATGTATATGCCTTGAGGCTGAGGCGTGGAAGAGGCAAGATATTGCAGGAGAAATGGCAAAAATTAAAAGAGGATTGCTGAGTGTTTATTTTTATTATTGGTGTTGCAGAGTAGTGAGCAAAAAGAGAGGGAATGATTAGCATGCTAAGCAGAAAATATCAGAGAACGAGTTTATTTTTTCTAGATAGATAAGATGTAAAGGAATAAGAAAAAAATTGGCAGTATTTTCTTATAACCTGGTTTGCATAAGGTAATGAACTTCTAGCTCATATTATGGGTTAGCTTCAGTGTGCTTTAGCCAAAATTTTTGAAGCCTCTAATGTCTTCCTCTTTGAAAAGAAAAAAGGAGGGTGTGGTTTGTCTATATTTCTGGTTCTGCAGTTTTTAAAAAATGCTTGTACTTTATTGTGGTCTGTAGACTGTAATCTGTACTTAATTAATTTTATAATGAATGATTTTAGAATGTTGTTTATGCTGTACTTTTGTACTGTTTTATTGTTGTTAGCCGCCCTGAGCCCAGCTTCGGCTGGGGAGGGCGGGATATAAATAAAATTTATTATTATTATTATTACTCAAAGATTTGTCAGATAATGTGTATTCTGTAATTGGCGCCAAAAACATGTGGAGTTTTACAGCTGGGGGAGTATTACAGATGCAGGAGAGAGATAACTGACTGGGGATGTCTGTTTTGTTTTTGTTTTACAAAAACCCTTTACTGTACTGTTGGACAAGGTGGGCAAATCTGTCAATTTCAGTTTCTCATTAAAGAAAACAACTCTTCAGTTTTCCACATTTCCTCATTAGTTTGCTTTTTTTTTAAGAAGACTCCTAGTAAAAATTCATCGGCTCTTCAGTACAAAATTGTATTCATAACATATTTTTGCAAATCAAACCTGCCTTGTATGATGCATTTTTAAGTTACTTTCATCAGTACATTTATTTATTTTTTTGGCACACAACACAAACTGAATAAAAAATCGAATTTCTCCCCTATCTTTAGCTGTTATTAACAATTTTATACAGCATTTATGTGATATCCATACTCACTTTGAGCCTCAAAACGAGATGGAAGAAAAAACACATTTGTTTAAAAAATAAACCCCAAGGATGCCTGGGTAGCTCTTAGTGCAGAGGAAAAATACAGAAGAACAAAGCACAGATCACTGAAATAGTTCGTGCAGAATAATCTTTCAGAGTGTACCAGACCGGTAGCATGCAGGCGGTTGTTTTTTTTTAGAAAAATAAAAGAGATACATGAGAGGACTGAAATGTACTGTACAGAGGTGAATTTTATTCTAGGGCCTCTGCAAGCTCCTCTGTTTCTCTTTTTGCATTTGCTAGTCGAGAAATAGGGCTCATCCCACCTTTATTTAGTTCAAAACGTTTATATGCTGCCTATCCAAATGAAAAGTCCACCATGGAGGCTTACATATTAAATAAAAGAGTACATGCCCACCTGTCATTGGCAAGGGGTGGGGAGAGATAACAATTGGGCAGCTGAGCTAAAATGGTCCCACACCCCTGGAGTAAGGTGTTCCAAAGGCATCGGGCCACCATAGAACAAGCCCTCTTGTGCCTGCCAATCTCATTGGTTAGTTGGCGGGCAAACAAAGAGGACCTGTGATGTAGGGCATGCAAGACAACATGGGTGCAGACAGTCCTTCAGATATCTTGGACCTATTTCTTTCAGGCTTTAAAGTTTAAAGCCAGCACCTTAAATTAGGTCCAGAAATGCAACCACGTACTCACCTGTCCAGTACTCTCTAGTGTTTTGGATTTTATACCAGCTGAGGCTTCCAAGCAGTCTTTAAAGGCAGCCCCATGTAAAGCGAGTTGCAGTAGTCAAGCCAGTACATGACCAGGACACAGATTACTGTGGCTAGGCCAGATCTCTTCATATAGGGTGTACCACAAAAACTGGTGAAATAAACTCCTGGCTATTCATATCTGACTGGGGAAGCACACAAAAACGCTTCCCTGCCATCCCATAGATGCCTGAGATATAGGCATCCATTCCTTACAAGTTCTGTTTAATTTATATTGCTTTTAATGGATTTGTATGCTTTGGCCAGAAGCCCTGCATGCAGCTCATCCTGTGTTGACGAAGAACATTTCCACATGTCGGAAGCAACTAAGAGATTATTGGCAGTGCAGTCCTCTATATTAGCCTTCCCCAACCTGGTACCCTCCAGAGGTTTTGTACCAGTCGCAACCACTATGGTTGTGCTGACTGGGAACGATGGGAATTGTAGTCCAAAAACATCTGGAAGGTGCTTGATGGGCAATGCCTCTATACTTGTTTCTTTAGAAGTCTCAGAAGTTAGTCTTCCTATTTAAATTTGTACTTGATTACTCTTCAGCCATAAAGGTCCTTTTCTACCCCACCCCACTCTGAATTTAGGGTGCAATGGGCGAAGTATAATTGCCCCCTAGGTGCATCCCATCATGTTATCTGCTCAAATGGACTCTTAAGGTTGTTTTGTGTATAGCTAGAGATGTTGGACAGAATAAACGAGCAACAATAGAGTGGTTCAACCCAGATGCAGGTTTATTGCCTGGTAAGAACTGGGCCTCTGGTCTTTGCTGAGCATGACCTGATTTCCGGCTTGACCTTTCTTCTAACTAGCCCTTTAAAAAATCTCTGCCAAGAATTGTGCAATTGCATACTTGTGATTGTGCTTGCTTGCAAATTTACTTATTCTGTTTTTTATGACACAGGCTTAGCTAGTGATTTGTGCATAGAAAGTTCAAATGAGGAACCTTTTTTTAAAAAAATCGTTGCGAAGTAGATAATGGGTATGTGTAGCAATAAGAAAGCCACAACTAGGTCAATATATACTTTGCCCATTTTGCAGTTTCAAGTCAAACTCCTTGCATTTGTAACTTGATAATTTGGAGGGATTTTTTCCTCTCTCCTCAAATTGGTGAAGAGTTTTCAACATCAAATATGCATGTGTGTGCCCACAAAAATGGTTTACATGCTTTTGTTTTTTAGTGTTGAGGTTTTTTTTTATTATAAGACTAGAATATCACTGTTTGGAATGAGGCAAGATTTACATTTCACATACCAAATATAACTTCTGGCCAAAGATCTCTTATTTCATTTTGACAGGAACTTGGATTCCTATGAAAGCTCCTGAATAGCAAGATGGACTGTTTAAGTAAACTCTAATATTTTTTAAATGTTTTGAAAAATGTTAAAAGAGCAGCACTTCTGGGGTTAAAGCCCATTGGGGGGGGGAACCTTTGTGAGCCAGAATCTCAGCACATTCTATGGCCTTCTGTACTAAGCCTTAATAATACCAGCTCCTTGTTTGTAATAAGAGATAATGATGGTCTGCTTTACCGGATTACAAAGATACTGGCTGTGAAAAGCTTTGAGTACCTAAAGAAAGCACTGTATAACTACTATTATGACTGCTATTAAACATGCAAAGGCAAAGAAACTGGTAGAAATTTGACAAGTAGTAGCCAAGTTGTTAATGCACTTGCCTGCAATTGGAGTCAATACAGGAAGATATCTTACAAGTGAGCCAGACTAGCTCTAATCTAGACTACCAATCTAGCCTGGTATTATCTACTTGACAAAGGTTCTCCAAGGGCTTTCTCCAGCCCTGATTCCTGAGATCCCTTTAAATGATTAGTGTTCCTTAGTCCAATGGATATTCCTCCGCCAACACCAACATTCCTTTGGGAACAACAAGTTCGAATCGTCCTTAGTGGGGAAAAGTTTGGGTCTGAAGCAAGAGAGTAACCATCTGTTTGTCATTCAGCTGCTCTGATCTCTTTCCGTAATTGCAGAAATCTAAATCGTGGTGGTTTGTAGATTTAAAAATGACTCACTGATTTTCCTGCCTACCTCGGCTTACATTGTTTCTAATGCTTTAGTTCTTATACTTGCCACCTTTCCATCATCCTGACGTGTCTGTAGAAACACACATGTGTATGTTCAAATCTGAAGAAACCCTGCCTTTCCCTGAGGCAATGGTATTTAGGTGATACTGTAAGCATTTAAAAAGGGTTCGCCCGTAAGAAAAAAATCCACCCCCCACCCCCCAGTTTTGTTTAACATTTACCTTGATGAGTTCTGGGGAACTTAGATGTTTGCTCACTATTCATAACAATTGGTCTGGCCAAATAAGAATATTTCCCTGCTATGGATTTTGGAATTGTAGGTCTTCATTAGACTTGAACCATGGCAAACTGGAATTAGATTCCCGGTGACTGATGAATGTTACTGGCTGGCCTTGAACCAGTCAAATTCTCTCAGCCCAACCTAACTCGTGGGTTGATTGTAAGTTAAAATGGAATAACCCCAAAGGTTGTTTTTATGAGCTTTCTGTGGGATTTATAGGATGAAAATTCTAATAATAAAAATGTCTTCCCAGCTAGCTCTGTGTTGAATCATTACAATCCTTTTGGCAAACTGATTTTCTCACGCTGCATACTTCAATTTTGTTTCCTTGCAGGAATTTGGCAGCAAAAAATCCATCACTTCGAGGTGTGACTTCACCGAAAATCTAATAGCTAATGGTTGTGCGGGGCACTTTGAGAGTACAAAAAGCAGCATTAAAATAGTGAAGAACCTTCCTTTGAGCAGCAAGGGCTCTAGTGTGGCCAGTTCGGATGTTATCCAGATAATGCCACAAAAGATCTCACTAAATCTGCGGCCTGGTAAGTTAGCACCAAATGTCTGTAACCTGTATCGTTAATTTGCAAGCAACCTGGACACTATGGCAGGGAGCCAGTGTGGTGCCTTCCAGCTCCCATCAGCCCCAGCCAGCATGACATTAAGGATAATGGGCACTGCAGTTCAACAAAAGTTGGAGGACACAATGTTGGCTTCCTCTGCTCTATGGGTTGGCTCACATGCAATACTAAACCATGGTTTGGAGAGATGGGAGTAACTCCTATACCTGTTGTTCCCATTCCCCTGCTTTCTACTCATACAATCCAGTTTTTTAGTTAGTTGCTGGGTTTATTTATTGTTTTTTGTTTAGATATATTTACAGCATTTCTGCACCACCATATAATAACATACCAAGGGGTGCAACAAACCATAGTTTACCATTGCCTCAGGACCCTGTAATACATAATTGTAAATAAGGATCAGACTCTGGGTTACAGGCATGCCACAATATTGAGAAGATCTCTAATAGTCAAACCGCCCTTGTTTCCTCCCCTTCCTTTCTTGGAAATGAGCCTTCCCCAGCCCTGATGCACAACTGCAGTCTAAAACAGCTGGAGGGCATGAGGTTGGGGAACTGTGTTGTTGACTGAGAAACTCGCCCACACTTCGCAGTAAACAATGGATTTTCCTGGGGGAAAATGGTAGAACAAACAAAGAGCTGCTTGGACCCTTGCTTTTGAGGCATGGGGCAAATGGAAGTGTGGGCACGCGCTGGGTTCTCAATCATTAAAGTTTTATGAAACTGTGTTCCCATTTCCCCTTGAAATCCACCAGCTACTTGTCTTCAGAAATTATTCCCATTGTATTATCTCTTGTCTTAACACGGCTAAGTGACTCACAGTCATCCCACCTTCTCTGTAAAGACAAGACGAGCTTTGATTGCACTGACTCGAGAGATGAACTTTTGATCCAAGAAGCTAGAGTTTACCATATTATTAGCTTTCTGCCAAGATGAAAAAATAAAATGGAAAAATCAAGAATCTTGTTGTGGAAATAGTTTTGCAGAAAAGAGGCATTCATACAGTTTCAACGTTTGTGCAAAAATATTTAGCCTTTGATATTTGGTTGTTTTGTTTTCTAAAAAGGCCCTTTGTATTGAAGCTAAAGGCCATTATGAAAGACAGATTCACTAAACAATTGTGTACGTGCCTGGAATGTCTGTGTTGTGTTGTAGTCCAGGCAAACTGCAAATAGAGGGAATATTTTCCCTTTCCATTCCTATCCTCCTCTGATAAGGAAAAGATTTAGGATTTATTTGTTAATAATAAGGAATTTTTGTGTGTGTGTTTTTTTTTTACTAATAATGAGGCTCTTGTATTCCTCTGATGAGAGCCCCAAGTTTATAAGGAATTCATATTCCCCACACACTTAAAACTCACGAATTTTCCCGACATTAAAATTAATCACAGCAGGAAACAAGAAAGTCCCATCACCCAAAGTGGAAATGCCTGTTAGTTTCACATAAATAGAGAGGGAACTATTGAAATTTGGTTACTGAGCATTCTAGCTTGCAAAAGCCACCCTGAAAAAATGGTTTTAATCTCCTCCTTCCAAAATTGCTGTCATTGTGCTCATTAATGGATCTCATGTAACAGCTCTGTAGTGTTCTCATCGTCACTTGACGGAAAGCAAAGTTGACTTGGTTTCATGCTGGTGAAGCTGATAGGATGTTGACTCCCAGCAATGTCTGTTCCCTTTCTCTGGACCGGATAGAGCAGTATTCTCAGTGTAGACCCTACTCTGACTGCCAGTAGCTCCCAGCAGAGATCTTTCCTGCTCTGCTACTTGAAAAAAAAATAAACTAGAGAATGCTTTTTGAGAAGCTTTCTGTATGCAAAGTCTATTCCGTTTCACTGAGCTTTGGGTGCATACCTTTTAATGGCTTATGGTTTCTTGTAAACTGTTCTCCCCAATGCAAATCCATTAATATAGTTGCCGCTGCTAAATGAGACACGGCAACAGATACACAAAACTGTATCCATGGCCCTGCTTCTGTTTTGGACATCAGGGAGGCTGATCTAATCAATCTATGCATATCCAGAGTGGATCCAGCTAGGAGCTGGTAATATATACAAGCCTAATGCTGCAATGTGAATGTTGATTTTAAAGCTTTCTATTGATTGAAAGTTCACATTTGATTCAGGACAAGTTCACACATTCAGAATCGCCCTCCATGTGACGCATTCCAATTGTCCTGGAGAGAATGCGTTTGCAAAGAGAAAATAGTTGTTGAATGGGAACAAGGCTCCCTTGTTTGCTAGCAGTTGCAGGGTGGAAAAAAGCTTGGCTAGAGCTGAGCCATCTGTCACATCAATCACTTCAGCAACAGTGAATCTTTAGGTTGCAGGTGAAATTCTTACTTTGGCAAGGGGGGGGGAAAAAAAGAGCAAATCCTCTTTCGGAGCGTAATAAAATGAAATTGCAGGGGCTTTAAAAGCAGTGGTAACAAAATGTGAAAGTGTAGAAAAAATATGTACACAGGAAAAGCACTTTTGTATGTTTGTGTATATAAACTTGGCCCATAGCTTCATGGGGTTATAATGGTCTTTTACTGCAGAGGAAGCCAATGGCATTATATTGTCCTAAGTCAGCCCAGTCTTTCCATGCTCCTGCAGCTTCCCACTCTTAGGGACCTTGCTACTTTGACCTTTTAACCCGTTGAGCCTTTTCTTCCTTGTCCCCCACCCCTCCATCACTGCATTATGCTCTCAAGCCGTTTTCCACCCACCCCACCTCAATTCCTTTGCATCCTGTTTCCTCCTCCTCTCCCTGAGCTAGAATCTGTCCTATCTCCATCTATTACCAATGATGGCTACGAACATTGTACTACGATCATATATATGTCAATGGAGAAAGGAAGTTGGACTACTGTCAAAAAGAAGTTGTGCCAAGTTACTCTGCTAGCCATGTGGAATTGCCATTTTTGCGGGACCACTGCTGTTGTTCATGTACATTTATCAGTTTGTTTTAAGTGATTTTATTGGATTTTAATGTTATATGACCATATGGTTGTGACCTGCCCTGGGACCTTATGGTGAAGGGCTTTCACTATCGGGCTGTTCTTAAGAGGAAGCTGGATGATGACCATCTACTGCTGGGTGTCCACAAATCTGTGCATACCTATGGGGCCAAAGTAGATTTAATCTCATTTTGCTAGGTTGTGAAGAGAGGAAGGATTATGTCTGTAAACCCTTGAAGCCATAACTTCCTAGCTGCATACCTGTGTTGTGCAGCTGTTACCAAAACATTATACAAGACGCAACAGGACATAATTGAGTGTTACAAGCAAGTCTTCCGTTTGCAAACAGCCCTTAGTGTAAGTGGTGGAGAAGCATTTATAAAATGAGCAGTTAGTAAATGAGACCGACTCTGTTTTGTTTCTACACCAAGCAAAATATATATTTCAATAAACAGGATTACTTCAGTTGAGTGGCCTAGGAGTTGAGCTACTTTCTACTTCCTTGACAGTCTGGAGGTGAAAATCTTGCTTGGGGTCTGCACTGGGTGGCTGGATCTAACTCACCCAGCTGTGAAAGAGAGCCTGATCTATTGAGCTAGAAATGTCATTTGATGCGACAGAATAGTGCTCCCAGGCAAAGCCTATTAGAACCAACCATTACGAAGCATCTGGATTTCAGTTTTCAAATGCTTATCCTGTCTTTTCAGTGGGAGGGGAGGAAAAGGTGGCAGGGGGATGCATGTGTTATAGTAGCCTATTAAAATATGTTGGATTTAACTTCAGTTTTTGTTTGAATGATTTGACGTAGCAACTGATAGTTCAGAGCAGAGCTTGACTCTACATTGATCATAGAAGTGCTGATATTCTCCTGTCCCCAGCTAGCCCAGTTAACACAGGTGCCCAAACCCTAGGAAAATCTAAGGCACATTGTTGAGCTGGGATACTGCAGGACCACATGGTCCTGTAATCACCAGTCCACATTCATTCCATTCCACTTAATTAAGAGAGCGAGAGTGGCGTTCATACAGAGCCCCCGGTCGTTTCACAGACTGTTGACCTGTACACCACTGCTTTATTCTTCCGCTGCCACCAACCAGGTTTCTTCTGGTGAAATACTGAGTCTCAGTCAGGTTGTAAAGTCAACAAGGAATATTAAAGTTTATTGAAGAATAAACAAGTTTTAAATATATTCAGAATGGTTTCTCAAATGCGTGCCCTTAACTAGATGTGGCACTATCTCACACTGTCACACTCTTCTCTCTTAGTTCTATCCCTGTCTCTCACTCCAGCTGTCACAACCACTATGTTCGTCTTTTACTGTCTCTTTGTGACTCTGACTCCTCTATCTCCCAATGGTAAAACCTCTGGGCTGAGCCTCAAAACCAGGTAGGCTCCGCCTCTGAGCTTTCTCATTGGTCAATCTACATTAACCATTTCCACCCCCCTGTACAAACAAAATCACAAGGAATGGGCAAACGCCACAGAGGGAGAGAGAGAAGGGCCCCGGTATAAAGTTTACGGCATGCAATGCTTTAAGAGAGAATATTATGAAAATGATTTACAGGTGGTACATGACTCCAGTCAAGCTTGCAAAAATTTATCACTTGCCCAATAATAAATGTTGGAAATGTAATGAGACTGAAGGAACTTTCTACCACCTTTGGTGGACATGCCCGAGGATTAAGGCTTTCTGGGAAATGATTTATAATGAAATTAAGAAGGTCCTTAAATGTACCTTTCATAAGAAGCCAGAAGCTTTTCTCCTGGGCATGGTTGGCCAATTGGTGTCAAGAAAAGATAGGACGTTTTTTATGTATGCTACCACAGCAGCAAGGACTCTCTTAGCAAAGTATTGGAAGACACAAGAACTACCCACGCTGGAAGAATGGCAGACGAAAGTGATTGACTATATGGGATTGGCGGAGATGACCGGCAGAATCCGAGACCAAGGAAAAGAGACGGTGGATGAAGATTGGAAGAAATTTAAAGTTTACCTTAAGAATTGTTGTAAAATTGATGAGTGCTAAAATGTCAATGGTTAAGAAAATATAGAATTACAGCTGTAAATTGATTAAGTAAGAGAAGAAAGGAGGGGAAAAAAAGAAAATGAGTAATCAGTCAATTGAAGTGAGGGGTTGCTGAAGAAATTTTGAAATAGGGATGCAGAAGGGGGAGGTATGGGGAAGTCGGGGAAGTAAGGTTTATGAAAAGGAGGTTGTGAAATTATACGTGTTTATATGTTTGTGTGTTTATGTATTGTCTATTGTATTGTTTTTTATTTATGTTGGAAAATTATTTAAAAATTATTAAAAAAAAAGAGAGAAGGGCCCCTTCCACCAGCTTAATGGAAACATACTTCTATTTTGGTTCTTCTCGTCTCAGAACGCTCTCCATCTGCAGCCGTTCTGAGGGAGAGGCAAGGCAGCAGGGCCCCCTCCATTGTTCTAGACAGTGGCTGGCACCTTCCTTAGAACTGTCTCATGCACCAGCCGTGGTACATGAATTTGCTTATTTTCTTCTTCCTTTCTGGTTCCCCTTCTCTTTAGTATTGCATCTGTTTGATTTTAATCCATTATTATTACTGCAGGGAACTAGCTTGAGTGCATTGGTAAACAAAAAATAAAATAAAAAATGAAACGGCTCCCAGCCAGTAGCTGAAAGTCTCACAACTGGGAAATATTGTTGTGGCTTGGTTGCCCGTATGGATGCAAGCTAAAGAGAAGCCACATCAGAGTAGCGCTGCAGGGTTATTGTTGTGGCCCTGATATCACCTGCCGATGGAACAGACTCCCTCGGAAGGTGGTGGACTCCTTCATTGGACGTTCTTAAGCAGAGGTTCGATGGCCATCTGCCATGGATGTTTTAGAGATTCCTGCTTTGCAGGGGGTTGGACCAGAAGACTCTCAGGGTACCTTCCAACGCTTCAGTTCTATGGTTCTAACTGAGTAATTGCTTCAGTTGCTCCCCCTTGCAATTGCCAGGCTGCTACTGAAGCCTTAATGGAAGGGCTCTCTTACAGATTTTGCAAAAAGGAAAGTATGCTGTCTGGATTTTGGCATGTTATATCAATTACATGTTGCAACAGGAAACTTTGTGAAGAAGTATTCATATTTCAGGCATGAATCTGTGGCTATTTCTGGTAACAGTTAAGGGGGTGATTTTGCACCGCCAGCTGAGTGAATGCAAAAGGCAAAGAAAGGAAACAACTGGCTTGCCTTTTGCTTGTCATTAACCTGCCACAAACCTGCTGCTTCCACAGGTGATCCAACGCCTTTCCATGTGCACGTTCGGCAGGTAGAGGACTACCCTGTGGACCTGTATTATTTGATGGACCTTTCCCTCTCCATGAAGGATGATTTGGACAACATCCGGAATCTGGGAACCACGCTGGCCGAAGAGATGGGGAAACTCACCAGCAATTTCCGCCTTGGGTTTGGCTCTTTCGTGGACAAAAGCATTTCTCCCTTTTCTTACACAGCACCTAGATACCAGAACAACCCTTGCACTGGGTAAGCAAAGGGCCAGCAGCTGCTACAGTTGTTGCTTTGGCACTGAATGTGCAAGAACATAAGATTTCTTTCCTATTGAGCAGAGCAAGCTAGAACCTGCAGCAGCATCCCATGGCTGCAGGGAAGGGCTTGCAAGACCTCACAGCTTGCAGGATCATTAAAAAGTAGACACCTCACATTTGAAAAAACAGGTCTATTTTGAATTTTGTGTAGGATCATGATATCTGCGATGCAGTGTTTTTATATTCCTTTAAAAATATATATATATTCTAAACTGTGCAGATATAAATACATTTGGGAAGTGGAAACTTTGGTCCTTGGGTTTTTGAAAATGTTATTCTTTATATTCTTGGCCTATGCATTTGTGTATGTAAAATTAGGGCAGTGGCCAGGATCCAAAGGCCCATTCAGTCTAGTGCTTTGCTTAGGATTTTCTTGGCTGGAAGTCCCCTCTGACTGCATGGCAGAAGACCAGGCCTGCATAGATGAGTGACTCACCAAGCTAAAATGGGTCCATCTACCATTTGTTGTGGCTTGACAACTTCCTGGTTTTTTTTACAGGTCACAGAAAGGCAGCAAAACCAAGCATTGCGAGTCCCTTCTAGACTGGAGGGCTGCAGTTGTGTTAGTGGGTCCCAGATTGTGTGGGCCTGCAAAACACCTGCAAGCAACTCAAAGGGGAATGGGTGGTTTGCAAAAGTAGTTGATACATGGTGAGTGGTGTCTGCCAAAGAGGAAAAGTTAAACAAACCTGAACTTACCAAATGATCACAAGCCTTTGAGCTACACAGCTGAAAGTAGTTCTTTGGATCCCAGCTAGTATTACTGTCTAACTTGCAGGGATGTTTGGTGCAGTTAACAACTACTGTCTCATACTTTTTTCCTGGAGCAATCTCCAGGATCTCAAACAATTGCCTAGTGACGGCAAATTTATTTGGCATGAATAATTAGCAACTCTCCTGTGGCTTTTAGAAAGAAAAAGTTTTAAGAGATTTTAAAGCTCTGTTGACAACACACTTTGGGAGACTTTTCTAACCCTAACCCTAATAGTTAGGTATAGGTGTTCCTGCAGGCAAAATCATTTACTTAAAAGGAGAGCTTATATAAGAAAGACAGAAGCTGGAGGCTCACTCAAGCCCCCTCCACACACACTGCATTTACACACCCCTTTTCCATCACACCAACCACACTCCTGGCACAGCCAGAATGCACATTTGTGTGCAGTTTGTTTTTGAGCGGATGTGTTGCATCCAAAACAAATAACAAATTATTTTATGCATATGTATTTTTCACCAGTCTCGGCAGCCTTGCTTGCATTTTGCTCTACCCCAGGGGTCAGCAGACTTTTTCAGCAGGGGGCTGGTCCACAGTCCCTCAGACTTTGCAGAGGGCCGGACAATATTTTGAAGCAAAAAATGAACGAATTCCTGTGCCCCACAAATAACCCAGAGATGCATTTTAAATAAAAGGACACATTCTACTCATGTAAAAACACACTGATTCCTGGACCATCCGCGGGCTGGGTTGAGAGGGCAATTGGGCTGGATTCGGCCCCTGGGCCTTAGTTTGCCTACCCATGCTCTACCCCAAATTGAATTTGTATAGCAATTTATATATTTTTGGCCAGCATCATTGTGGGGAAGGGGGTAACAGGGTCGCTAGTGGTGAGGAACGTGATCTGAAGCATTGAAAAGACCATCAGCTATGCAAGTATTGTTCCTGAATCTAAATCCATGAAAAGTAGAACCTTTCTTCTTTTAAAGCGGGAGTCTTCTGTAGTGTCCATTGCACGCATGCAGATTAGTTTTAAAATACAGCGCTCCCTGAAAGTTGCAGCCTAATCCTATGCATGGTAACTCTGAAGCAAGTCTCGCTGAGTTCAGTGGGGCTTACTCTCAAGTAAGTACCTGTAGGACTGCAGACTTAGGAGCAATCTAACTCCATGTTCCTCTTTTCAAAGCATTCCCACATCTGGAACCCCTGTTATCTTCTATCCAGTGCCAGTAACCTTGGGCATGAGGGAATCCACCAGACTGCTGAAATTAAACTGGCAGTCAATGAATGCTTGGCTCTGGAAAATGAGCATTTTCACTCTGACGGTTGCCTCGTGTCAGCCAGTCGAGGCCTATTATGCACGACATCATGCTCACCTGCTCTGGGCTCTGTGCAGCACAAAGCTCCAGGGATACTGGATACTACTGTTTCTTCTCTGGTTTACGTAACCCTGCAGTCTGTGTGCTCGTTCCATCTATGCAGTCATTGTTTGCCATTCACATCACCTTTGTAGGGGGGAAAGTGATGTGAATCAAGGATGCTAATAGCCCCGAGCGTTCTAAATCGGGCAGGCAGCTTTCACAAGTAGAGGAAGCTCCTCACTTTAGCATTTGGCTCTCCAGTTCATGGAAGGCTGAGATTGGAGAAAGGGATGTGTTGGAGGGTGTGAGGCTTGTCAGCGGGCCTCCGATTTGCGCGACTTGTCATTGCATGTAGACTGTGAACACCTGAATTAGGCAGATAACCGTGTGAAAAAAGGAGAATGAAACCACAAAATTGTGGAAGAGAACTGTAAAGTGAACCACTATTTGTAGACAAAATCTCCTGCACTTTAATAAACAGTTTTTTGGGGTGTGTAATTAGTGCACATCGTCCAAACTGTTCTGTGCTAGAAACACAGAACAAGGAAAGCACTTCAACCCCAAAGTGACAGCAGGGGAAGTCAGGGTTTTCAGAAAATTTACAAGGAAGGCAAAATACCAAACATACGTATGTCCTTCTCTAATGTAACTTATCATGGTTACAGAGCCCGTTTAATCACACCCACTCAAGGCCACATTTTCATAACCTACTAGAAAAGTCAGTATCTTTGGCCTGGTGGAGATGCAGTGCTGACACTCTGTATACTCTTCTTTGTAATCAGGAGTTTCTCAAATCAGGAGACAGGCAGTTTTTCCTTCACCTCTCTCCCCCCAACCCCCTCTGCTGCTGCTAATTACCAGTGTAGCTTTTTCTTGCTTCCCTAATTTATGGTTCAACATAAAGTGGTTTCCTACATTAAGTGGTTTTCAACTTAAGCAAGATTTGATACCAGATCTGAAATCTGGTTGGCAGATGATTTGGCAGTGACCTGAAACTAGGGGTTACTTTAAGTGCAGATGTAATGTTAAAATTATGATTAAAACTGGTAAGAGAAGGGGAGAAGAGGGTATGCTTATTTGGCTGGAGGATGGTTTCTGCTTGCAAACCACAGCCCCATCTGCAGTATACGTTTAAAGCAGTATCATACCACTTTAAACATTCATGGCTTCTCCCAAAGAATTCTGGGCTGTAGTTTGCTAAGGGTGCTGTGACTTGTTAGGAGACACCTCTACACCCTTCACAGAGCTCTGTTTTTCAGACTGGTTTAGCCTCATTTAATACAACCCCTAGTATGTAGCATATATGACTACTGAGAATGAAGAGGAGAGAACAAGCATATTGAGGTTCTGTGTTATTTATGATGGCCAATTTGCCAAAGCCTCCACCCCAACTTAACACTGACATAAGATCTCTGCTAAGCTTCAAATCACAGAGTATTAGCTAACTGAACTAGAAGCTGCTAAGCTTCTAGGGACTCCTGTTCATGCTTATAAAAGAAAGTAGCATGATTAAAATGAAATTATTCTCCTGAAACCATAGAACTAGTGAAAGCAAAGCAAATAAGTCCTTTTCAAATGGGATAGTTGTTTTTCAGTTTCTGAGGTGGGGAGACTCGAGAGACTTGCTTCATTCTAGCACATACCATGCGGAGAAATGAGCTTGTCAGTTCAACCACATGAGTACATAAAGCAGTCATGTAAATACAAGACAGAGTGACAGAGACTGAAAACAGAATTTTTCAGCATTCCTTCCATCTGTTTCTCAGCTTTCAGCAGCAGCAGCAGCCGTTGTTCATCATGGCCAGTTCAGGCCCCTCTTCTTCCCTGGTGGGCTTCTCACATTGCCGAGGTGATAGTGACACTATGACAAGGAGGGGGAAAATAATAATTTTTAAAAATCTGTAGGGCTCTTTTGCATACACATTATGAGCACCTGATCTAGCCCCAATGGAATTGCAGGCCAGTTTCTCTCTTATTCATTTAAACTACATGCACTGAAATATTGAGGTATCTATTACAATTCTTTATTTCCCATCTTTTGGAATATAAATATTTCCAAGGTTGCTTCCAATTAAATTTATGTATTTTAAAAATACAATAAACATCTTTTAATTACTTGAAAAGTCATCAGGATCCTCCCCACAGGGCAATTGATGGAATATTGCCCTCTTGGGGTAGGTTGGAAGGGACAGTCCAACTGGAGCAGGCCTAATGCTTGCCTGCTTCTTTCCTGGTTCATGCCAAAATCTCAGTCCTGAACAACAGCCAGTACCAAGTTTACTCAGAAAGAAGTCTCTATAGAGACACTTGTCTGGGGCATATTCAGTTTCAAAATTAAGTTCCTCATTTCCAGTGTCACTGTATTGTACATAATTCAGAATCTGAGTAATTTTTCAAGCCAGAAAGTTGCTCTGAATTTGCATTCTTGATCAGCTTTAGTAGGTATGAAGTGGGACACAAACTCTGGTGTTATTATCTCACTGTGCAGACAAATGACTCACAATGATGTTTCATTTCTTTTCTAGTTACAAGTTATTTCCCAGTTGCGTCCCATCCTTTGGATTTCGCCACCTTTTGTCCCTCACGGATAAAGTTGACCGGTTTAATGAAGAGGTTCAGAAACAGAAGGTTTCCCGCAATAGGGATGCCCCAGAAGGTGGCTTTGACGCAATCTTGCAGGCTGCTGTGTGTGAGGTGAGTAACTTCTGGCAGATTGTGAATGGTTGACTATACAGTGGTACCTTGGTTCACAACCACAATTCGTTCCGGAGGTCCGGTTGTAAACCAAACAGGTTGTAACCCAAGGTGCGCTTTTGCCAGTAGGGCCCCCCCCCATGGGTTGTAATCTTTAAAAGAAAGGGACATGCACTTCCAGGTTTGACGTGGTTGTAATCCAAAACGGTTGTAATCCAAAGCGGTTGCAAACCAAGGTACCATTGTATCTGCCATTCCTTGTAGCCTGTAGGGGTTGCGGTTATTGGAGATGGGAAGTTAATTGGTTGTGTGTGGGGAGAACATACTTTTAAAAATGGCACTGATAAATGAATTCTCAGAATAGCTTTGTGCGCCATGTGGAATTTGTGCTTTTTAGGTTAGCTGGGGAAATTATACATTTCTATAGTGAGATTTGGGACTTGGGACTTGTTCATCTCACCACAGCGTATATGTGCTAGTTTGCCCTTTCGAAGCACAAAAAGAAAGGGTCTGGCACATTTGTGTGTCCCTGTATCTGTTGGGTGCCACTATCCCTAGTATATGTCTCTATCTGAAGAAAAATTGCAGTGCCATTGTTACTTGTCCCTTAGGTTGGCAGTTCCATCAGTGGCATTCCTTGCCAGTAGATCCTAAATATGCCTCTTGTTTATGAACAATGACTGCATTTGGCACTGGGATTTGGGTGCAGCATTTGTAGTAAAATACTTTTCTTGTCCTTTTTTGCCTTTGTATATTAGTAAGGTATATGGCATGACAGCCTATTTTAAGAATCTGTTGATACTATTTTTGGATAGGTTGCATCTATCTGACAGAGCTTCAGTTTCTGCTGCTTGTTTTCCTTTTATATATATATATATATAAAACCCATAGCTTCTGTGCGGATCAAAACACAGCCTGCTTCTTAAATGTGCAGGCACAGTTGCCTCTCGTCAGCTGCCTTGGCAAAAGTTCCACTCTTGGCAGAAAGACAATTTTTATTCAAACTGCTGTCAGCATAATAAAAGGATAATATGTTTGTCACTTCCCTGGAGGGGGGAGTTATTTCCTGTGTTCAGCAGGGAGCACTAAAGACAACATTGGTTTTTTTACACCTGCTGCTAATAATAATGTCTCGCATGGCTTTTTAAATTTTATTTCTTCACACCTTTTTTCACTGTTCTGAAAACTGAGCTGCTTTCCTAAGTTTTGGGAGCAAATATAAAATGCATGCCACTTTTTATGATTCTAGAGTTTGGGACTGTAATAGAATATTCTCCCCCCCCCCCCGGAGGAACGATTGCATGATTAGTGAACTCTTACAGGACTTGAGGTCAGCAAATCTGATTTTCCAAGTTGACCAAGTCTATGTGGACCTCAAAGGAGGTGCAACTTCCCTAAACTAATATATCCCCTTGGAAAATGCAGTTAGTTGCTGCAGTGCATACATGGCATCTTATATTTTGCTTTGGCCTGCCCTTTGCAGCCTTTGATCTTTTGGGTATTTCCTTCAAATAAGCAGGTCTCACAGGCTACTAGGGTATTGTACCTGCTTCACAGCCGATATGGCATCTTGCTGGACCTGGAGGTCATGCGGTCAGCTACTGGCTGCAACATATATGTTGACCACTGTAAACATCATTGTGCTTGAATGGCTAGAGCAACCATTTGCCCGTTTTAGGCAGGAGTCAGTTGTTTAAGAGGGTTTCCTGTCAGAAGGATGATGCCTAATTCCACTGAGATGAATATTTGGAGGACTGGGTTTCCATATCTTCCTACCAGTGGCAGGAAGAGCATATTTTAATTGCTGCAGATAATGTCATGCAGAGATTATGTTGTGCATTCCAAGTTACTCACCAGGGACTGAATTTGCATATTTTTACTTACAATTCTATGGGACGCAGGTGGCGCTGTGGGTTAAAGCCTCAGCACCTAGGACTTGCTGATCGAAAGGTCGGCGGTTCGAATCCCTGCGGCGGGGTGCGCTCCTGTCGTTCGGTCCCAGCGCCTGCCAACCTAGCAGTTCGAAAGCACCTTCGGGTGCAAGTAGATAAATAGGGACCGCTTACTAGCGGGAAGGTAAACGGTGTTCCGTGTGCTGCGCTGGCCTGCCAGAGCAGCGATGTCACGCTGGCCACGTGACCCGGAAGTGTCTGCGGACAGCACTGGCTCCCGGCCTATAGAGTGAGATGAGCGCACAACCCTAGAGTCTGGCAAGACTGGCCCATACGGGCAGGGGTACCTTTACCTTTACTTACAATTCTGCTTCGTTTATTACAATACATGCATTAGAATTTCTGGTTACAGAATTTGAAGGTTCTGCTCTGTTTTCATTGTTTTCCTGTGGCTTTGTTTCTGTTCACAGCTCTTTTACAAGATAGTTTTATCTCTGTTATTGATGATACTTAAGCAATGCCTATCTCCTGATGCAATGGCTTGGTGCAGGAAGAAGTTGTCTGTTGGCATGAGCAAAGGCTGACGGGTTTCTTCTTTTGCCTTGACTTCAATGTAGAAGGAGATTGGATGGCGGAAGGAGGCTTCTCACTTGTTGGTGTTCACTACGGATGATGTCCCACACATAGCACTGGATGGGAAGCTGGGTGGATTGGTGCAGCCACATGACGGGCAGTGTCACCTGAATGAGGCCAACGAATACACCGCTTCCAATCAACTGGTGAGAATGCATAGCAATGAAACGGATGTGTAAAATGTCTAGTTATCATTCTGAGGGTCTCTTGAATGCCACAGTGTTGTTTTGACTTCACATTTGGATGATTAGACAGTTTTAAAAACACATTCCCCTGTGTCTCCGGAGCCCTGCATGAGGCAAAATAGTGCATATAAAAGCTGCTGCATGGAGTCCCTTGCTTCATTCCAGCTCTTTCCTCAATGTTTTGTGAGGTAAACAACTGCTCCTTATCAGTGTTCTGTATCACTGATCCTTGTTGCATTTCATTTCAGGATGGAACAACTTGTTACCCCCAAACCCTTAACTGCTGTCTAAAGACAGTGGCCATGTGAATGTCTCACAACTTATTGTGTCTTAGTGCAACTTGTTGTGTCTCCATTATGCTTTCAGCGGCAGTCATGTGTTTCAGCTTCTGTTTGCCCCTTACTAGCTAAGTGCTGTCCTTGCATTTATTTGTCTCGGTATATAAATAAAATATTGGTAATCAAAAGGACAAGGTAAACCTTGATTTGACACTTTGAATTCAGTAGAGAGGTCTGCAGATAGCTGTTTTCCTTCTTCGGCTTTTCTGGATGAAGAGCCGCTTTGTCCTTGCATAGCTGTTGGGTTGTTTTTCTGCAGGCCAGGCAAATTGCAAATCCTAATTATTATTGTGCCCTTTAATGAGCATGTAATGTTCCCCTCCCTCCATGTTGAAAGTGTTCCTAACTCGCTGTCTTTAGACAATGGGCTTGAATCCTTCCACAGGACATTTCTTGGTTTTCCTGAGTAAACAAAGTCAGTAAATATACATATTCATTGGCCATTTCTGTAATTTGTGTACTAGCCTAGAAATCACATGAAAATCTATTCTGCCAGCATAGTATTGGAAGAATGTCAGTGTGGTTCACAATGGAAGGCCTGGATACAAATTCCTGCTCAAACAGAGACTTGGCTGGATGGCCTTGGTTGGTCATCAGTTTCTCCATCTGTAAAATGGGAACATTATTGGCCCATCCACACAGGATGGGCTGGAAATAGTGAAAAGTTTGGCATGTCTAATTTCCATTGAAATGGATAGTACTAAGGTTCATAGATAAATGCTTAAAGGTGCAATCCTAAACTCCCAGGTGAATGAGCTTCATGGAATACATGTCTTGTTAATTTCTGTGGGATTCAGATGGCACTAAAGATAAGGTATTCAGAATTGTCTGTACAAATTATTCAGCGTCTTGCCTATAATTTTATATATAACAAGAAATGGAGGGTATAAACAGTATTCTTAATAGCACATTCATACTAAGCTTTGCTCTGAGCTGGAGGTGATTGATACATGGCCTAAACAGAGTGGATTGCTATTGTCAGAACTCTCTTCTTTGCTCCAAATGTGTGACGTGAGAGAGGTTTTCCTTCACTTGTTTATACTGGGGCAAGATGCTGCCTTCTCCTGCTGTTACGTCACTGCCATTTGTATGGGTAATGGGGGGGGGTGCTGGAAGGGAGAGCTCCACTGGTTTATATCTTCTTTTGAGAGTGCAGAGAATAGTCTAAGACCTGAATTACAATCAGGTCTTAGCCTGGATGGGAGGCCATGATGGGTCAGTGCAAGCTATGCAGAACTTCCTGAGAAAAGGTTTTGGGCTGTAATGAAAAAGGGTAGAGAGAACGGCTGACCCCATAATTGGTGGGGAATTGAGCAGCATGCCTATTTATTCGTTGCTTGGCTGACTTAACTAGGTTCCATATAGGCCTTCCTGGGTATTAAGCTCTACAGGAGAGGCCTTCTTGGTAGTGGCTCCCTGATTATGAAGTTTGCCACCCCACTGATTCTTTTGAGTTTTCAGTGCCAGCGGAAGGCACATTTCTTCATGTATTCCATTGGGTGGGTGGGTTGAGTTGTTACCTATCAAGTTTTAACTACCGTATTTTTCGCCCCCGCCCCATAGGGTGCACCGCCCCATGGGATGCACCTAGTTTTTTTGGGGGGGGATAAAGAAAAAAAATTATTTCCCCCCCCCAGGCACGGGGCTGGCGCGGGGGAAGCTCGAGCTTCCCCCAATCCCAGCCCCGAGAACAGCCTGCTATCCGCAAGCCAAGGGAGGCCAGCGGTAAGTCGCGCCAGTCTCCCCAGGTTTCAGAATGCAGGCAGCTCTGCGCAGCCATTGGGAGGCGGGCGCGACTTCGCGCCCTGCTCCCGATGGCTGCGCTCGCCCCGGGACAGTAGGCAGCTTTGCGCAGCCATCGGGAGGCGGGCGCAAAGTGGTGCCGGTCTCCCAAGGGTTGCGCAGAGCTTCCTGAAGCCTGGAGAGCGAGAGGGGTCGGTGCGCACCGACCCCTCTCGCTCTCCAGGCTTCAGTGAAAGCCTGCATTCGCCCCATAGGACGCACACACATTTCCCCTTCATTTTTGGAGGGGAAAAAGTGCGTCCTATAGGGCAAAAAATACGGTAACTTGCCCTGCTATTGTTTTTGTTTTGTTTTACTGTAATCAAAGCACTTGAATTTTTTTGCTGCCTATTTTGGGTAATTGCCCTGGCAATTCTCAGTAATTTACCTCTATAACAACAACCCTGTGAATTGGCCTAGTTTTCACGTGATCATAATGAGTGCACTTAACTGATGGCAAACCAGGAATACAGCTTTAGTTTGGACGAGCCACAGAGTTCCGTTCCTTGACACACGGATGCCGTAATATGAAATAGGTCTTAAAGTACATCCATGGTGTGGAAATCCCTTATTTGCAGATGTGTGTGCTTAGCTATAATTGTATACGCTTGGAGTCTTTTAAAGCACAGTTCTATGCATATCTACTCAAAAGGAAGCCCTGTTAACTTCAATGAAACTTACTCGCAGGCAAATAGGATTAAAGTTGCAAAGCAGTTATAATTCATTTTCTTTGTCTTCACTGGTCTCTCTTTCTTTATCTTTTTCTAGGATTATCCTTCTCTTGCTCTTCTTGCAGAGAAACTAGCTGAGAACAATATACACCTAATTTTTGCAGTGACGAAAAGTCACTATGTTCTTTATAAGGTAAGTGTTAGGCACAAAGAGGAAGAAACTGGTTTCCTGTTTGAAACCTGCTGGAAAGTGAAGGGGGAAGTCAGTAGAGTCAGAGTGGGCCTTGAAAGTCACCCCAATCCATGGGTGGATAATCTTTTATGAGGGTTGCATTGCGCCATTGTAGTTCCTCCAGGGGTTTCATGCCAAGGTGGATGTGGGCCACACTCTCATGCATGCACACACAAATAAACACATGCAGGAATATGGCATATTTTCACACATGCAGGCACCCTGGGAGCTCTCAATTGCAGATTTGTCCACTGTTTTTGAAACTTCCCCATCCTTGCCCCAATCTTGAGAAGCTTGAAAGGACTCTTTCAGGTCTCCGCCATTGCCGGAGGCGCCAACCCGGAAGTCCTCAGGTCTGATTAAGATTTCAAGGTGGCAGTTTTGCCACTGGAGTTCTGGGGTGAGAGGAGAGAATGTGTTAAGATGTCTAGTACTTCGGAGGAAGGAAGAGCTGCTTGGAATTAAAAAGCACTTGAGAATGTGCTTATGGTCTGGCTTTAAGCCCTGGGAGCTTTGCCTCTGTGCAAATCAGGCTGCAATCCTAACCGTGTCTACTGGGAGGTACGTCCTGCTGGCATTCAGTAGGGCTTACTTCCAAATAAGTGGGGTTAGGGTTGCAGCCCCAAGCAGCTCTGCAGTGCGCCCTCCTCCCAATTTCATTCTTCAGTTAATTTCAGAATGGCGCTTCAGTGAAAAGCAGCTAAGCTTCTTAAAGTGAATAGATCAACACTGGTGATCATGAAGGCACCAAAAATAGCTATGGGATTTAATCCTTATTTTGGGAACGTTGCCAACAGAAGTGTATTCAGCCTAGCCTGCCGTTACTTAAATCTTATTACTTAAAAGTGAATTATGTCTCTGCACTGTTCAGGGGCTCCAAGTACCTTGTTTCTCTTTCAACAAAATTTCCCATTCTCCTCCGTCTAATTAATGTTAGTGAACAGAAGTCTCCAAGGACCAATGTTTTTCCCATTTAAAAAATCGTGGCTTTTTAATTATATTGATGAAACTTATGAGAGGATATAATTTCCTTTGTTTTTAAATAACTTGTTTCTCTTGTGTACTTCTCTCTCTCTCTCTCTTTAAAAAGAACCTTACTGCCCTCATTCCTGGAACGACGGTAGAGATTTTAAATCAAGACTCTACAAATATTATCCAGCTTATAGTCAAGGCCTACAATGTGAGTTTTTCACTTTTGGTGTTTAGATGTCATCAACTTCGTCTGTATGTTTTAATTATTTAGAATACTTACATCCCTCTCTGTGGCCCCAAGGGGGTCTCAAAGTGGTTTACAAAGGAGTCTCAAAATAAAAGATGCATTCAAGTGTGGTATTGGGGAGCAGACATAACATCGTGCCACTCTGCAAGCATATCATGAAAGGAGGTGTGTGCAGATGATGCCACCTAGCTGGTAAGAAAATTGAACTTGTGTCCTGCACTGTAAATCTATGGATTTCCTTAAATTTACTACTACAGTCCATTTCTCTTCAGATTGTCAGTCTAGTTGTTTCTTCTTGCTTCACAAATCCTCTATCATCATTGTTGACCAGCCATCCCCTGCCCTGGTAACTGGGACATTTGAGTTTCTCTATTGAACCACAGAAGAGCCAGTCTAGTGTAGTGGTTAGAGTGTTGGACTAGGACCTAGGAGACTGGAGTTCAAATCCCCACTAGCCCAGGTTTGCCATATGTCAGGAAAATTCCTGACATGTCCTGGTTTCCGGGTGTAAAAATGGCGTTGGGGGAATTTTGCCGAATCGGTCAAATGTCATGGGAAGCCTGGATGCATGGCAACATGATGAAAAAAGCTCCAAAAGCTTAAAATCACATTGAGGTGGGATAGAAATGCAGTAAATAAATAATGAACAGATATTTGTCTGCTAACACAAATTACCCACTTCGAATTATTTCTCTTGATTTTTGGCAGAGATTCTGAGGTCGGATCTTCTCGTACTGTATGTAGGTGATTTTGTACATAGGTGCTGTATAAGAACATAAAATTATTTTGCTTTGATGGATTGAAGCCAGAATAGGAGCTCTAACGGTTTCATCTCTTGGCTTGAATTCCTATTATCCGATTTCTCATTGTTAATCCTGTTTCTTGACTGTTTTCTCTGTAATGTTTCAACGTAGAGAAGTGCTGTTCCAGAGTGTTTATTACTTCCTTTTGATTACTTCCCTTTCCCTCATGAGTGCCAGAAAAGCACTTTTAGCCTCTTCCCATGGAGCAGTGCTTAGAGGTTAAGCTCGGCTGCATGGATGCCTATTAGAAGTCAAAGCTGCATTATGCAACGTGGTGGCCCATGTTGTCCCCCGATTGGACAAAGAGGCTGCTGGGAGAAAGGAAATTGGCCACTCATGGGCATGCACCTACTTGTTAATATTTTTGTGGTTCCCTTTGTCCTGTATTTGACTTGTAGATAGACCCTGCCCTGATAAGAAAGGTAGATTTATGTTGAATAATAAAGGCAGCAGCACATTCAACCTAGTAATACCGGTTCTGACTGGCAGCATCTTTTTGTTTTAAAGATCACAGCAGGAAAAGGCGATGGCATGTATGAGGGATACCCATTTCCTCCGTTTGTTTTGATTGTGTGGGAGGCTGACGAGGATAGTTGGCATGTGGGCAGCAGATGATTTGTTGCTGTGTACGCCACAAGAATTTTGGAATTATTTAGAGTTTAAGAATCTCTTGTTGGAAGCCACCCAGAGTGGCTTAGGAAACCCAGCCAGATGGGTGTGGTATAAGTAATTATTAATAATAAGAATAAGAATAAGACTCCAATTTCGTTGGTATTTTAATGTATTAAGACAGCCATAGCCAACATGGTGCCCTGTAGAAGCTGTTGGACTACAACTCTCATTGTCCTTGCCCATTGGTCTTGCTGGCAAGGGCTGATGAGAGCTGGAAGTCCAATTATATCTGGAGAGCAGCATGCTGGGTCTATTGAAAAACAAGCCATGTTAACGTTGGAGAATCCAGCTGAGATGCATTTTTTAAAACACACACACACACACACACACACACACACAACACAGAGACTTTCTGCTACTCTGCTTTTGATTTGGAAATACTTGATATCCTGTTTATCTCATTCTAAAAGACACCAGACTATGACAATGAATCTTTATAGCTATTTAGAATGCTTATAAACAAAGACTCTGAAGGGAGGAGTGGGGGACCATAAAAGGTTTGAACTTATTTTTACAGCAATGGTAATGAGTGAAGGATAAACAATCAGTCACCATTATAGTTACGTGTGCCCAACTCATTGTTTCCTTCCTTGGAAAGCCAGTACAGTACTGCCCACTTGCTAACACTGGAATACTGATGAAGAGGAACGAGGCAGTGAGTGAAGCATCACAGAGAAGGAGTGCAGGCAAAAGGGCAAGTGGTGGAGAAGCAACTCTGGGCTTGGCAGTAGGACAGTTATATTCCGTGAAGTTACTTTGTTGGAGAGGGGATGTAGCGGATTTAGTCAGTTCAAACATCACTGCAGGTGAAGAGGTTTGGAAGAATCCTTAGAACAGATTTAGGAAGTGCAGTGATTGTTATAATATCCCAAGCCACCAGACCCCTCAACAACTTTGAGACGTACATTAGACAAAATTGCAACAATACTAAAAGAGCCATTTTTCCTCTTCATAATGTTTATTTATTAATATTACACACACACACACACACACACACACACACACACACACACACCCTTCATCCTCAAATACACAAGCAGTAAAATCCCAGGGCCTTTAAATTCAAATACAAGATGATTCTTGGAGCTCTCTGTGGAATGAACCTCCATTCCTCTCAGTCTCAGCTGGAATAAAAGAAAATGCCAGCAAATTACTCTGTTGGTGGTATCTTACTTCATTTGCTGTTCATAAAATAAATCACTCAACTTCACCTCTCTCTGTGCTGGAGAAACTGTGGAAAGCAAGGCACTTCCTTTCATATGTGGTGGTTATGCCCAATTATTTCCACAATATTGGGATTGGTCTTTTAGGAAAGAGGCAAGATTATATCTCAGCCACTAACTCTGGATTCTTTAGTAGCACTTCTGTTTATCTGTGATTCACAACCTAAACATGTTTCTTAATAGCTAGGAACTGGAACCTTCCCTCGCATCAAGAACTATGGAATGTGGCACTGATGAAGAAGGAAGGTGCTCCTTATCGCTACTATGGATGCAACCTTAGATCACTGTGCTGTTTCATATAATTTGATGTGCCCATTAGTGCATAGTTTGTTCCCACAAATGTCTTAAGTGAAATGATGTATGTGCTTTTAAAAATTTTTAACTGATGGGACTCTGTTTCTTTTCGTTTTCTAGAGTATCCGATCTAAAGTAGAGCTAACTGTCTGGGATAACCCTGAGGACCTCAACCTGGGTTTCACAGCCACATGTCAGGATGGCTTGTCATACCCTGGAGTCAGGAAGTGTGCAGATCTTCAGATAGGAGACACGGTGAGTTTGTTTATCCAGTGGACAGAATAGGAAATAATAGTGGTAGAATTGCATATGGGCCATCGGGCTCTCATGAAAGGGATAATTGAGACAGTTCAATAATAGGAGTTCCCTCCTCTCAGAGGTGCCTGTGATCTCTGCACCATGAATTTCAAAAACCCACCTTCTTCAAACGGCCTCTTTGTAAAAAAATTCCCTCCACCTAGGGAGCTACGTTGCAGAATATAGCTGTTGTTAGTTGTTATATTGTTCTGCTATTTAAGTAGCCTTTGATAACTTAATGTTGCTGCCCTTGTCAGTTTTAGATGGCTGTAAGATTGTTCATTGTTATGTTTTTGATATTCTGAGCTGCCTTGGGTGGGCTGTGCCCTCAACAGTGGCACATAAATTCAGTTTTTATTAGTTTAGAGATAGGAGTTTAAGAGGATTGCTTCCAGATCTGATATTGAAAAAGAGAGACCAAATTCTGCCAGTGAATTCTGTTTGAGGACTGCTTTGAAACTGGAAGGCCACAACATGTTGGGCTTGAGGGAAGCAGCTTTCCATTCCATGCATTATGTAATCTATCTTGAAAATAGTAAAAGCATTTTAATGCGTTATTCTCATTTTGAACTTCATCAGTTGGCTTAATACTTTCCCTTGCATTGCTCAAAGGGTAACAGCACATTCATGTGCATGTCAGAAGTAAGCCCCACTGAGTTCAAGGGGCCTTATTCCCCATTTACCTTGGAGCGACTTTGCAGTTTTAGATCAGTTTGCAATCTTAGATCAGTGAGCACTAATCTGTACTAAACTAGTCGTGAGTTTATATTGTCAGGGCATGCTCACGACCACTTGCATTTGTGCTTGGAAAGAGCTGGGGAAGCAGATTCCTTCTCTTGACAGACAGAATTCAGAAAAGCAGCATTTGCAAACAATCGCCTTCTTTGCTTCCAGTGCTTGTTCCTCAGCTGTTACTATAATCGCCTTCCCACGTGGCCCCAGCCTGTGGATTTTGTGCACAGTAGAATGTTGATGCAAGCTGTGGTTTTGCTTACATCCAGCGGAGTGTGTAAAGTGAACTGGGGCCTATGTTCATTAACACTTAAGTGAGAAGGACCAAGGAATAATTATCTTCAGATGATCAGAACACAGGAAGTCACCAAATTTGTTTAATTTGGAAATGTATAATTGGCTTTTTAAATTGTATTATGATTTGGTATGATTTGAAATTGTAATAATGTGGCCCATATTGGAATGTTATTAATGAAAAAAATAAGGGAAAATGTTTTATAAAACCTAAAAAGCACTTATGTGAGAAGGCCTTGAATGGTACCCCTCCTCCCCGCTGCCCTGCAAAGAGAAAGTGCCGGTGGGTGACATGAACAAGGCCTATTTGCATAGGCATTTTCAATAAGTGCCATCGTTACCCAACAGAAACTAATATATCAAACCACACATTGGGAGAAGGCACACTTCCTCAACTTCGGCCCTCCAGATGTTTTTGGCCTACAACTCCTATGACCCCTAGCTAGCAGGACCAGTGGTTAGGGATGATGGGAATTTTAGTCTCAAAAACTTCTGGAGGGCTGAGGCTGAGGAAGCCTGCTGTAGATGCTTCATGCTTGTTCCCCTGAAGAAGACAGAAACTGGGTATTGTGAGTTCTGATCTGCTTTGATCACAGGATTGGGAAACTTCTATGGTCTGTGTAATCCTGGGGCTCCTCCCAGCAAACCTTTTAAGCTCTGACTCTTTGATCCGTTTTCCTTTGTGAAGGAGGAGAGCTACTCCTTCCTTCATACCCCTGCAAGTCTCTAGATCAGGCTTTCCTGTGCTTTTTCTGAATTGAGGACAGCACTGTTGGGGTTACTAATAGTGAAACTTGCTGCAGTGTCCCATCTGCACATTGCCATCTGGCACAGAAGAGCAGAGCAGGCTGGGATTTCAATAAAACAGAGAATTCTCAGTGACGCTTTGAAAGAGCCAAGAGATTGCCCCCTCCCCACTGTGTGTTTCAAACCAAGCCTGTTTTGAAGTACATCAGAAATGATAGATAAACCTGGAGCAAAGCTAACCTGCTGCATTGACATATGTAATTACTTGAAAGTTTCATAAATCAGTTCCTTTGCTCCATTTGTGCCGCTGTGTTTTACAGGGGTGGGCTGTCCCTTGTTTTATTAGCAACAGTTCTGCATTCTCCAAGCAGTCTGCAAATTTGTGTTCATTTTAAAAAAAGGAAAAAAACAAGGGAGAAAAGGGGGGAATAAAAGAGACAACACTTATTTGCGGTCTAAGCCTTCACTTCTCAAAGAGAAAAATATCTAGTGCTGAGTTTAGTTTGTATCATTGCAGAATCTATCAGTTTGACAGGTTTTTTTATGCCATGTGTTTTTAAAAACATGGCACTCGGGGGGATTGTGTATCATAATATTGTGGGCATTTGGTAGCTTGTGGATGCAATCATTTAAAAACAACAACACCATTTTGTTCATTTTCATTAATAAAGGATTCACAGTTGCAATTCAAAGTACAACTGTATGCATGCTTATACAGAATAAGTGAATAAGTCCCATTGAGTTGAGTGAGCCTTACTTCCAGTTCGTTTTGTATAGATTAGCAGCTATAATAATGCAACAAAAATTAACAGGAGGAGGGGAGGAATTAAGGCAAGCCCTAACAATGTTTTCAACCTGAAAACAGGAAATCATTGTTCAGACCGACTTCTCCCTTAGCCTGCAGAGATAATTGCACTTTTATTTTATTTATTAAGCATTTATAACACATTCTTAAAAAAAAAGAAGTTCCCAGAGTAGCATACACAAACAGAATAGAGCAGGCATAGGCAAACTCGGCCCTCCAGATATTTTGGGACTACAATTCCCATCATCCCTGACCACTGGTCCTGTTAGCTAGGGATGGTGAGAGTTGTAGTCCCAAAACATCTGGAGGGCCGAGTTTGCCTATGCCTGGAAGAGAGCAATGGCAGTAGAATAAAATCAAATGTAACAGGGAGGATGGAAGACTTGACGATCTGTGCTGTAATGCTAGAGGAGGGAGCTTTCCTTCAAAGCAAAATAAGAACAACTTAACAAAAATATTCTCATTGCTTGAAATGGTATGAGGTTTTGCTGCAATGGAAGGGATATCTTTGCCCTTGCTTTTTCCTTTTGAAGGTTGTTCCTAGGAGCTCCAACCTGGGCTGTAAACAGGGCTTCACATTCAACTACACTTCTAATGTTTATTCTGTGTGAAGCAGGACAATGCAGCAGCCCCGTCTGCCCTTCTGCAGACAGAACCTGATCAGACTGGTGGCTGAATCCTGCTTCAGTAGTGGCAGCAGAACAGCATCCAACACTATATCCAGGGCTAGGGGTGGGGGCGGTAGGAGGCTAGCTGAGGATGCCCAGGGGAATGGCAGGGTGTCTAAGGAGAAGGCCCATCAGTCAGTAGTAGAGCTTTGCACGCAGAAGGTCCCAGGGTCAGTCTCTGTCTGAGAGAGACCCTGTTTGAAGTCGCTTCCAGTCAGTGTAGATGATACTGAGCTAGATGGACCAATAGCCTGACTTGGTATATGTTCCTTGGCTCACTTCCCTCTCCCCCCCCCCCCAGCACTTGCTGTTTGAGGAAGCTGCCTCAATCTGCCCAACAGTAGAGCTGGTTCTGCCAAAACATTTGAGTTTTTTAAAGCTTCTGATGACTTCCCATTCCTACCTTTCACTATTCCCGCATAGGTTTCCTTTGAAATATCAGTAGAAGCTCGGAGTTGCCCCACTGAGAACACCTCGCATACGTTCACTATCAGGCCGGATTGGTTTCGGGACACTCTGGAGGTGACCGTCACCTACAACTGCGTGTGCGGATGTACCAAACAGATAGAGCACAGCAGCAGCAAGTGCAGTGGGAACGGCACCTACGTGTGTGGGTTATGTGACTGTGATCCGGGCCACGTGGGAGCCAAGTGTGAATGTGAGGAAGGCGAGAGTGGGAACATGTACCAGAACATGTGCCGCGAAGCTGAAGGGAAGCGGGTCTGCAACGGCCGTGGGGAATGCTCTTGCAACCACTGCGTCTGCTTCGAGAGCGAATTTGGGAAGATCTATGGGCTGTTCTGCGAGTGCGATGACTTCTCCTGCCCAAGATATAAAGGTGTAATCTGTTCAGGTAAGTGTGAGGCAATCTAATAATGCATTTTCCTTTCCAACTCGGATCTTGTAAGAGCTCTCAAGTGTGAAGGGTGAGCCGTGCAGAGTTTCCTCTCCCTGAGATCTTCTGTTAATCGTTTTCTTAAGCCAAAGGTGACACTCCAGAAATGGTCAAACTCCACAGCTCCCATCCCCTCTGACTGTTGGCCTTACTGGACGGGGCTGTTGGGAAATGGGAGTCCAGCAACATCTGAAGGGTCACAGGTTCCCATCCCAACTGTGCAAAAACATTTCAAAAGACATTCGCCTACAAGCCAATGCCCCAACCTCTTCTCAGCACAGGAAAATGTGGCTTCATATGCTAGACCTATGTTGTCACCAGAAGAAAGCATGTTCCAAAAGCCATATGCACCACGTGAAACTAGTGCGGCCAAATCACTTCCTGATTTGGAGCCCCAAATCACACTTTCTTGGTAACATTATGTATGATGTGCTCTGTGGTCTCTGCCAACAGCTAATGAGGTGAAATGGACGAGGAAACCCACAAAACGCCACAAGTGTTGTGTTACCAAATGGTTATTTGGGAGAAGTGAAAATGGTGCTGCATTTGACTGATCATGCATTGGTAATAATGTACAGTTCAAGCCACTAGAACAGAGATGGCTAAGTGGCTCTCCAGATGTTGGTGGACTAGGACTTCTATCAGCCCCAGTCAGCATAGCTAATGATCAGGAGCTTGTATTCCAGCAACATCTGTGGAGAGCCACAGGTTCCCCAATCCATGCTGTAGAGTTTAAGCTTTTTAATCCTTTTGACAACACTTGCAAAATGTTTACATACATGCAGACAGCTTTATGTACACCATTCCAGAAATAAGGGACGGGCAAGCGAGATACATACTCCTTTATTTCACAATATTTATATACCGCTTGAACAGTGGTAAAATGGCTCTGGGGTAACTGCCTGACTTTGTAGTTCAGCCTTGATCACTGTAAGCGTGAACTCGTACAACACTGTAGCGTCTTGCAAAATGAAGCATACTTTCCATGGCCTGTGTAGCAAGAGCCACCTTTAAGTAGTCATCTGAGCCTGAGTCATACTGGGCACTCACGAATCTGCAGATGTTAGGTCTGCAGTATTTCTTCTTTTCAAGGATTAAATACTGAACGCTACAGTGGTGGCAATAAAGGAAATGAAAAAGAAAATGGCTTATATTAACCTTAAGAGGAACCGTGTTACCTGTCTTCTTGCAATTTGGCTTCCTTTTCTCCCTAGTCCATATGGCAGTTTGACATCTGGAAACATCCTTTTATATAGTGCATTTTGAATGCTTAAAGCACTTCATGCACTTTCGCTTTGTAATTCTTTTAACAACCTTATAAGAAGAAGAAGATGAGTTTGGATTTGATATCCCGCTTTATCACTACCCTAAGGAGTCTCAAAGCAGCTAACATTCCCCCCCCCCCAACAAACACTCTGTGAGGTGAGTGAGGCTGAGAGACTTCAGAGAAATGTGACTGGCCCAAGGTCACCCAGCAGCTGCATGTGGAGGAGCGGGGAAGCAAACCCGGTTCACCAGATTACGAGTCTACCACTCTTAACCACTACACCACACTGGCTCTCAGTGCAGTATCCTTTTCCTATTGTAGATGGAAGGAGAGGGACTGGGTTGAGAGACCACTGGCTTGCCTAAGTTTGTGGCTGAAGTAAGATTTGCATCAGGGACTGACTGAGGCTGCAATCCGCCGCCTGATTTACACTGGGCTGTGGCTCGTTTGGATTGAACAGAGGCATCCTGCCACTTGCTTCATCCGGCTCAGCTATCCAGCTACTACTGATGGCAAGTGATAACTTGCAGACTTCTCCCAGTAGAGCCTGGGAGAAGGCTCTGTAATGAGAGTCAGCCTGAGATCTGCTGGATCCCAAGTTGCTCTCACAGCTGCTGCTAGTCTGGTGGGGAGCTGATTTAAAGCTGGCTTGGGATCATGCCCAATATACTTGCTCCCCACCTTGTGCCACTACCACCATGATTGGGCCTGATGTGGTGTTTTTTTAATAAATATTTTTATTGTATTTCAGTCATAATAAAAACTGACTTGAAACTATGGCAGCTAGTTGTTTTCCACCTGAAAGAACTTCCAAAGTAGCTTAAGGAAATGCTGATACATAAGAAGTTTTTCACAATGCTGCCCAAGGTCCCTAGACCTGTAAGTCCCTCCAAAGGTTGTCTCATTTGGTCATCATTCAATTTACTTCAGAACATTTTCAGGTGCCCTTAATAGGGATCTAATTTGGCACATTCATTTTACTTTTGTTTAGTAAACAGGACTCCAGACTCTGAAATTACCAAGCCTGCCTAATATTGTATTTACAATTGACACCCGTTCCTTGTTACTAAATAAACTTGAGGAAACAAGGGGGGGGGGAATGTGGAAAAATAATGGGCTGGGGAAATTTCCACTCCACATCACTACTGAAAAGCCATTAGTGGTAGGGGCCAGGTGAGCCACTCTAGGGAGATGAGCACTTCTGGGAAGGTTCTCTCTTCAGGTAGGCATAATAAAGGTTCCTCTTTTTTTGGAGGAGATTTTTGGGACTATTCTGGTTTTTGCCTTTTTGCAAAGGGTAGTCTGATCATCCCTTGCCATTGGCTATGCCTAACGGGGCTCTTGGGAGTTGTAGTTCACCTCTGGAGGGCCAAAGGTTCCCCACACCTGCTTTAGAGCCACCCTTTTGGGGCACTGGTCTCCTTTCTTTACGCTGCTCCTTGAATTGGATGTGAATAGCAGAAGCAGCTGATCGAAACCACCTCCACCGTTTTAGCTACTCGAGTGCCAAATTGAACTCTGGCAGTCATTAAACTCTGTGGCAGACAAACCCAGAAGGACAAGAACACCCTGAGGAGAATCCAGAAACTTTGCAAAAGCAATCAGCAGCAGCGAGGCAGCTTAAAAATTATGTGCAGATCAGAGAATCTGGAAATAGGATATATCTGCAAAGTTCTGCAAGCTGGTGGGCCCATCTCAGGATGGATAGTGCTTTTGATTGTGAATTTACAGGGCTCATATAATATTCTTTTTACTATGGCGAAGGAAGGTGAAAGCATGTTTTATAGCTAGCATATGATGACTTGGATGCCTGGAAGCTTTCCCAGGAGTGATTCAGTATGTTTAATTGCAGTGCAAGTCAAAAGGAGACAGTGTGGTTTGTGGATGAAAGTAGCCCATACATTGGGGGATGAATCTTAAGCCACATGGCGTGTTGAATCATGTCAATGCTATATTTCATGCAAGTAAAAGAAGATAATTCATGCACTTTATGAGGAAATGGTTATGATAATAGGGGCAACAACAAAAGGGTATGATTTAGAATCAGTTGAGGACGATTCAAAATAATTTAAAGGAATGTAACCACAAAGGAGAACAGCAAACTCCCCCTGCTATCAGAGTTCAGCCATATCTTATAATTTAGAAAATTCTGCAAAAATTACACACAGTAGTAGAGCAGGGGGAGGAATGTTTGAATGGGGGGAAAGCCCCAAATGTTACAAAATCTTTTCTCTCTCCAGAGGGGTAGCCATGTTATTTTTGTGTGGTTTAGTTTGCTCATTACGATTGAAACATTCTCAGCTGGAGTTCCTGCCTCTTGCAACTTTTGTGATGCAGTCTCTTGGCACTAGTTGTCTGCTTTAGAGATCAGGATCCAAACAATTAGCAACACATTCTTTATGCTTGATGTGTTGCTGATGCATTTGAATCCTTGTAGATTTTGAGATCTCTGGAGAAGGGGTGCAGTTCAGACAAGTTGTCCTCCTTCACTGCTGAACTCTTGATTCTTTCCGGGTCAAATGCCTTTTAGATTCTTCATAAGGATTGCTCCCTTTTGCTCAGAAACAGGTTGGAAACTGGAAGTGATACTGAATTTTTGTTAGGGAAGATGGCTTTCAAAACTGAATATAGCAGGAGAGACACATGCTGAAATACTGATACATTTTCATTGAGACTTTTGAAAACCTGGTGTGGAAATATGTACTGGACTGAACCGTGAGATTGGAAAAACGAGAGACTGAAATGGACAGATTTATTCCTCCCTACCCGTGACACTTCTGGTTAGCGGCAGAGATTTATGGATTCCCCAGGCATGTTTTAAAAGAAAGTGAGCCAGCATTGGGGTCTGCTGGCCTGCTTTTACTTGAATTCCATTCCAAGTGCCTCTTAACACGGATTAGGCGTGGCATGCTTCTAGCCATTATTGCCACATGGGTTAACATGCAGAAATGTGGGGTCAAGATTTAGGTCCCTCAGATGTAATAAGGAATGACATGAACAGCAGGAAGTGGCGTCCTGTTGTTTGTTGCTAGTTGTACCAGGGCAGCTTCCACTATGTGCATTAGATTTTGAAGATATTCTTTGTGCTTGGGAGTTCCAATAGCTTAGCAGTCTTTTTCTTCTTCTTCTGATGCTTTATGCACGTGTGCTGGGGGTCATCAGCCTTATTCCCTCTTGGGGTTTATGGAGTCAGTTTGACACCACCCCCGTTCTGCAGGCATCTCTTCTTCAGCTCCCCTCTCCAATCCTCCCATTGCTTTTGCCTAATGCCCTTTGTTAAAAGTCAGGAGTTGTTTTCCCTGCTGGGATCTGTCTGTGGCTTGCATAAAAATTAAAAAAACAGTAGTGGCCAAAAAATTAACCACTTAACCACATATTGCCCAAGCAAAATATTTCTCAGTGATGTGAAGCCAGAGCAGATGTGAGCAAGACTGATGGATACTGAATTTTTCCAGAATTAACACAATGACTTATCGCCCCTTTCACATGATACTGTATGTGCAAGAACAGGCTGTATACCTAGTTAAGGGTACAAGGAGAGTTTCACACCTTCTGGAACCCCTTCTTTTCACCTAATAGATAATTTGCAGGCCTGGGGTTTAGTTTGGAGATAGATGATACCAGTATAGATCATGAAAAATTCAAGCATCAGTTGTTTAGGATTTATACATGCAAATGTGTGCTACTTTCA